TGTGTGTGTCTGTCTGTGTGCGTCTGTGTGAGTGATTAGTACGTAGGATCATGCGCGCAGGACTTCGGCTGCAGCCTGACACTCTCTGCAGTACCTGGAGAATGCCAGACCCCCCATGATTCCAAGGCTGCCCACGGAGGCGTCGGCGAGCGTGAGCGAGCAACTGCCGCCTGTCTCTCAATCTCTCTACAGAATTACTGGAATTGCTAGAATAACCGTTCAGGACCTGGCTTCGGTTCATTCTCGGCTTCAAACCACATTGGCTTTGCCACAATCTTTCAGATTTGTGAAAGCTTCAGGGCTCGACGCAAGGCCCAATGCCCCGCCCATCCGACAAACCGTCTAGTGGTCGAGACCACGCCTCGGCGGCGGCTGCCAGCGCCGCTGCTGGCATCCCTGTTGCGCAAGGCCTCACAACTTTTAGGCGTGATGAATTTCCCTGTGGACAGCTTCACATGTTCACAGATTTGACAGCTGTTGCATTGTAACAGCGCTCTGCAGCTTGCAGACCAGATCCCGCGCCTGCCGCGCGGGGGCAATTGAGGGCCTTCGGCATCGCGGCCTGCATGAAGGACCGTCAGCTGTTCAGTCAACGGCCATGATGCTGATGTTGTTGAGTTCTGTGCTCGCCGATCTTAAGAATAGAATTCTCTCATGCGGTCGATACGATCGAAGCTGAGCTTAAACTCTATCTTGGTGTTCGCATGTGGTGGCTTAAACACTTGTCATGCGCTGCACAGATGGCATTTGGAGTCAGTCCCCCTGCACGAAAAGCCCTAAACCAAAGCAGAACTCTCTTCAATTCAGCCATCTCAGCAGGCAGCCCTAGGGACCAGTGACTCCTGCTCGGAGAGGCGCTTGGAATTGTCAGATTTCAATGGTCTTAATCTGCTGGGTCAACTCAGCCAGGCTGGCCTGCATTGACCGCTACCTGCTTCAGACAAGCGGCAACGACTTTTCAGGGAACATCTGCCGAGCGTTTTCAATTTCACAGCTGATCAGCACCAAAAACCAGTGCATCTAAGGAGTCCAAGGTTCCAAGAATGAACCCAGCATACCCAAGCGACTGCCATCGACTGCCACTTTCAACGATGGCGCAGAACGCTGTTCATTCGGTTTTTTTTCTTCGTTTGCCCTTGCATCTCGTTCGCGGCTTTCGTCGGGCGCGGCAAGGCGCTGGCCTGTCAGAAATGATTTGAGGCTTCGTGCAATCGCACACCTACGTTCAGGCACGTTTTGACGTCGCTGATTTTGAATTCCCCACCCCTGGCCTCCTCGGCTGCAGCGGCTCCTTCAGAGGCGCATCCGTGAAAGCTTTGGACTCCGGCTGCCTTTGTCGCTTTCTTCCGCATAAGTTCTTGCCCTTTGTGAACTCAGGGCTTGAAAAGGCCCGCTTCGCAGGGCTGCGCTGCCCCAGCTGTTCGTTAACCAGCGGCGCGGCTTGACGGACGCCAGACGTAGAGGAGAGAAGTTGACTGAGCTGCTCCTCTTTCCAGATCAACTTGCGTCGGGAGGCATCTTCAAAGAGCGCAGTCACGTCATCTGAAAAGGATCCTTTCAGCAGGGCAGCATTGGCAAAGAGAATGAGCGAGTGCTTGGCTCTGGTCAAAGCCACGTTCAGGCGCCGAAACTCAGAAAGGAATCCCAGGCGACGCTGTGCATTCGCCCGAACGAAGGACAGCAGAACGACTTCCGCCTCAGATCCTTGGAAGCTATCGACGGTGTGCACCTCAATGCCTGTCTCCACAAGCAACTTTCGGATCAATGCAGCCTGGCCATTGTAAAAGGTGATGACCACAAGAGGGGGGCAGCGCCTTGTCACGAGCCCGTTTTGCCCCATGCAAGCAACAGAGGCTAAGCGCTTTGCAAAGCAAGCCAGAGATTCTGCCTCACGTCTGTTGATGATGCGGCTTTCCTGGTGGTATACCTCCTCAGTACCAGCCACATCCACGACGGCATATGGTGGTAAAGCTTGGTGCTTGGAATCCTGAGAACCTCCAGCCAGAACGTCCACCAGCCGCCCTCCATAGAATCGAGCCGAGGGGAAGCGGCTGATCTCTGGGTGCATACGGTACTGCTCCTGGAGCATGATGTGCTCCTCAGCAGAAAACAAGACATATAACCGTTGTGCATGTATCAGTGAGTGTATACATACATATATATATATATATGTATGTCTGTATGTAGGTATGTATGTATTCATGCATACGTACGAAAATAGACATAGACGCAGGCATAGACATAGTGACACAGGCACAGGCATAGACACAGACGCAGGCATAGACTTAGACAAACACAAAAACCACATACATATAAATATACATATAGATATTTGTATCTATACATGTACATACATGTATACGTATACAGGTGCAAGCAAATGAGCAATTCATATACATTTGCATAGGATTATGATATGAATATGTATAGGCGTGTACATACACATGAGCATACACACATGCGTATGACGGAGCGTGGAAACGCCGCAAACTTGCTTGACCGCTACTATTCTTGTTACTTTAACATGCTCTACTAGTATCGTCTTACGCGGAGCTCAGAGTTACCCATCTGGTTTACTCTTGCCATTCTGCAAGACCAATAACCTTACCAACTTGAGGACGGGCTTGCTCTTGAACCCGATGAAGGGCCTTATTGGCATCATTGATGTCCATATCCATATCCATTTCCGCATGCTTTTGAGCATGCGTGAACGCACAGATTCGCGTGTTCGTTCAGTGCGCCAGGCTCGTACAACACCACAAGAATATGTATACATACGCATACATACATGCGTACGTTTATGAAAAACTATGCATGTAAGTAGGCATGTATGTATGTACGTATGTAAGCACTATGTATGTATGTATGTATGTATGTATGTATGTACGTATGTACGTATGCACGTATGTACGTACGTACGTACGTACGTACGTACGTACGTACGTACGCATGCATGTATGTATGTATGTCGGCGTGTGTGCGTGCACATGCGAAAACATAGACATAGACTGACAGACATATAGTTGGATGGATGGATAGATAGATAGATAGATTGATTGATAGATAAGGAGATAGATAGACAGGTAAAACTATTGGATAGATAGGTAGATAGATAGATAGATAGACAGATAAACTGCCAGCTAGCTGCTAGCTAGATAATTAGATACATAGATAGATACATAGATACATAGATAGACAGATGGATGGATAGATAGATAGATACATAGATACATAGATACAGAGAGAGAGTTAGTTAGGTAGTTAGTTAGTTAGTTAGCTAGTTAGTTAGTTAGATAGATAGATAGATAGACAGATCGATAGACAGATCGATAGACAGATCGACAGACTGATCGATAGATAGATAGATCGCTCGACGGATCACTGGATGGATGGATGGATGGATGGACGGACGGATGGATTGATGGAGGGATGGATGGAGGGATGGAGGGATGGAGGGATGGATGGCTGGATGGCTGGATGGCTGGATGGCTCGATGGCTGGATGGCTGGATCGCTGGCTGGGTGGCTGGCTGGATGGCTGGATGGTTGGAGGGCTGGATGTTTAGATGGTTGCATGTCTGGATGGCTTGATGGTTGGATGGCTGGTTGGCTGCATGGCTGGGTGGCTGGATGGCAGGATGGTTGGATGGTGATGGTGGGATAGGTCAGATGGATAGGTAGATAGATAGACTCAGATAGACAGAAAGCAAAAGGTGCAGATGTAGGTAGGTACGGAGGGAGGTAGGTAGATAGATAGATAGATACTGTATCTAAGCTTCATCAGCTACCCTTATGCGCTACTCTGATTAAGTACTCACTTCTTACACATGCATCCCGTTGGCATGCAGATCAGCCATTTCACAGCGTCCTGTCCAAGCCCCATCAGCCGCTCCATCATGGACCGGCAGAAATGTGCCTCAGATCATGCGTTTGGCCCCTACTGGCTGGGGTGCACTACCCAAAGCCAATCAAGACTCAGTCTGGGAAGCTCTCCACTTCTCTCTCCCCTCTCGCTGAGCGAGGTGCGCTCTTCGCCATGTCGGAGTGACAGACAGTGGCGCTCAACTGCATCGGATCCTCACACACTGACATTCAATTCACACTCCCGACCTCAGGCCTCTAGGACTGCAAGCATCTGAATTCAGACCAGCACGAGATAGTTGTTGCAAAGAGCCGCTGCATTCGAACTCCAACTGGAAACACATCTTGCTCAGGGATGCACGGGCCCGCAAGGACACATGATTGCAGGGCCTTCCATCAAAACCGACCGAAATGCAGAGAAACCTGGGCCAAGAAGCTCCCACCAGTACCAGCTGCTTTGGCTGCAAGCAAAGGGGAACCTGCAGTCTGGTGCCATGCAAGAATGCCAAACGCTCTGCCCCTGGTGGCATCATCAGCGGACCCGAGACACAGAAGACTTGTCACTGAAGCTCGTGCACGAGTCTGATTCAAGAGGCGAGCAACTAAAGTCTCGGCTTCGATTGCTTGCGCTGCCTGCAGGCATTGAAGAAGCTCGGCACATAAAGATTCCGCTGGAACAAGAGCTCCTAGACCGTATCGCAGAAGGCCTCGTCCACCAAAACCGTCTCGATGCCATCGCGCAGGGTCATCTGCAATCCAGGCCTAAGGAATATCCAATGGCGGAGAGGCAAAATCTACGCGGAGGTTTTGGACCGGTATTGGCATGTCTTGCTTCTCCCCTCCCTCTCTCCAACAGAACTTGTCGACAAGCCCGCCAGAGTGTGAAGCCTGAAGCTGCAGGTGCACCTTCCCGCACAGCTCAGCGTGCAAAAAACCGCTGCGGCAGCTTTCAACCTCGCACATCGGCATGCTTGAACATCGAAGATATCGCTCCCAAACCCGTTCTGCCGAGGAACTGTTCCGTCTCGAACTCAGGGGCCTTGTCTCAACCGAGCTATTTCAGGGCTGGTCAGCTGATCATGGGACTGCTGTGGGCTGTCGGCGATGGCGATTTAGGATGTATCTGCATGCGGTAAAGTAGACTCACCTATACGCCGCCTCCCCGAAGCGCTCCCGCCGAGCGAGCTCCGTCAGCCGCTCAACCAGGCTGCCACGAACGGGCCGCCTGGAATGCGCCCAGAGATTGTGGGTCTCAGTTCTAGCTGTGGCTTGTAGCCAGGCTTTGGGCGGGGTTGCTCCGGGCTTGGGCCCCTTGTTGACGGCAACCGCATTTGAGCCAATCGCCGACCCAGGAGACTACGTAGGATTGCCTCTGAAGCTCAAGTGCAAGATTCTGACCACACTGCCCGAGTGGTCGTCATCAGTGTCGGGTGCCACAGCCCTTCTCGGACAAGGTTTTGGCTTCCTGTCAGGATGATCTAGAAATTTTAGCGGGCTGTGATCTGACTTGAGATGTTGGGTTGGCTGCTGAGGTGTCATGGGTTCTCGCTCTGGCGGATGGCTTCACATATGAGCAGTGCTTCTCCGAATGCCTTTCGGCGTGGTTCCATCCGAAGGGGAACGGTTCACACGGACATGATCGTCCGCCCTGACAGATGATGCAGGAAGAACCAGGGCTTGTCCGGTTGCTTGCATTTCATCCTCCGCCGCCTTCAGCTTGGGCTCACATATGCGGCAGTTTGCAGTTCACGCCTCTCGTGGAAAGATCGTTTTCGTGCTTTCTTCAGGGATGCGTCTTCCACACCGACCCGGCACTCTCGGATCAACCCTGTTGCTGGAGCACGAATCCCAGGGCTGCACATGAATCTCGGACGTGCATCGAGCTCCAACTGGTCCGTGAGCTTGGAGCGGATTTTGACAATTTGACTGCTTCTGGCTTTGCATGCTTGCGGGGCATTGCCTGCTCCCTCAAGTATGTTCAAACATTGCTTCGTCCGTGATTTCTAAACTCCGGGCCGTGGACCAGGGGGGGCCTGGCTGATTCGATAGGAAGTGCCCTCCAGAGACAGCACCTTGCTGAAGTCTGCAGCGCTCTCGCTCAATTCTCGGAGCGCTTTTGGGGTGTCACAGGAGCTCCCAAAGCAACAAAGATTAATCACTTGTTTGGGGGCCCTTCCCTTCCTCCTACCAAAAGGAAGGGCTGGACTCCAGAACTTGGGAGGTGGGAATCGGCCTCGCAGAGTGGGCCTCGCGCTCCGATTCCGACGCCGAGGTCTCCTCGCCTTCGGCAGAGAGCGGGGGGGAGCTCGTTTGAAATAGGACTCTCCTTGTAGGACCCCAGGATTTCTGGGCCTGAGCGGAGAGCTCCTTGTAGGGTTTTGGGCAAGAACAAGACTCGTCTTCCCTTTTCTTCTCTGCTCGTCCCTGTCTGACAGGATTCTGCATGGTGCAATCCATGACAGAAAATTAAAGAGCCAGTAAAACCTGATTTCGAGCTATCTCCAGAGCATTGATGAAAACGAATGCATCGATCTCCACCCTGGACCTGAAGGCTCTACGTTTTTAAGGGCCCCGCTGGTGTCTTCCGGCTCGCTGCAGCTTCCCTGCCCCAGGCGTGCCCAACAGAAGCAGATGAGAGGCATCACCGGATTGCCCTAGAAAGCAGGCGCTTGTAGTTTGGAGTCTCTCTGCATCAATCTTATCGATTTGCCTTCTCAGTAGTCTTCTTGGGTGAGATGGCCCATTACAAAGCGGACTGCCATCAGAAGACCGAAGCATGGAAGGAAGTCTTGGCCTTAGACTTCACTTTAGAATGCCCAGGCCTCCTCCCAGCTCTCCAAACACTTCTGCAAGTGCTTGGCGGAGAGGTTTCGGGGCAGCTTCAGCCTGAATCCGTCTGCACAATTGAGGAGTTTCACCATGCGCCGCCCCGCCAGAAGCTCTTCTTGGAGTGCCCCGTCCGCATGTGAAAACACCATCGTCAACTCATTCATATATTTCGTCTCGGGCGCTCTTGTGCAGGTAACATAGACACATGTCTATATCTATATCTGAACATGTTATGTGACAGTTCTCGATGATGTCCACCCGATAGATGCCCTAAAGCAACAGAAATGGATGTGGTGACATACATGCAATTGCCACAGAAATCTGTCTATGGAGACATATCGAAGCAAATGTGCCCAGGTGGGCTGGTCAGTGGAGCAGCTACCAATACAACAATCGACGTTCAGAAAGAGATAAGAACAAAACAAGACAGAAGCCGCTTCCATTCCAGGCTTCGAAAAAGGCCCAGCAAATGAGAAATGCTTGTATCGTGCGGTGCCTCGGGCCCAGCAAATAAGTAGGGACCGACCCGACATATTTTGGTGGTTTCCGCGCCTCCCAAAATAATAGACGTGGAGGGGCTACGCAACATTTCGTATGCATGCTATATGCACACCCAGGTCAATCCGAGGTCAATCGTTACCGATGCCTCAGGTAAGCCGCAGGTACGCTGCGCTCCAGTGTGCGGAGTGCCTGCGCAGTTGCAAGAAGCAGTAGCCCTTGAGTCTTCGCATGTGGAGCTGCGTTACCCTGACCCACGCGGGAGCCATAGAGGAATAGCGTCTTTTGCACGAGTTCTGATTCCTGGAAGAGACTTTGCCAGTGCTGCTTACTCTTGTTAATCCACGCAGGAAGCTTGAGAGGGGACGATCCTCTATTGCCTGAGATGCTGATACGGATGATACTGTAACCTGCGGAACAAGCCGACCCCCTGCACTCTGCAACACATCGCGCAGTGGCCACCCCTGGCCTCCGCCGCTTCTTGCAGCGCTTGAGGGTCTTCAAAGCTCTGCTTCACCAGCGCGAGGGCATGCTGCACTCCTTCATGGCCCGAGGGCAGAGAGGCTAAGCTTGGATCAGGATGTTGGGTACTTGAAGCTTTGCAAGTCCCAGACACGAGTGTGGATAAAAGCTGCACGAAGAGGTCCATCTGGAGGCACCCGATCCTTGGGCGGAATTGCTACATGGCTCAAGCTCGAGAGCAGCCTGGAAGCTTAGAAGTCTTAGAGAGTTTCTGGAGAAAGTGAACAAAAGCATGAGTCTTTGATGCACAGGACCAAGGCTCCTCCACGCCCACAAGACAAAGCGGGCACCGACGGCCTTCCTGGCAAAGCATGCGGGCTGCCGCCGACAAGAATGTGACCTTCTCGACATGAAAAGGGCCTCTGTCTTGCTGAAGCTTTCCAGCGCGACCTGCACGGCGCCATTGCTGGGAGCACCTGGGGGCTCAGACACTTCTCCCCGATGAGGCTCGAAATGAGTCTGAAGACTGCCTCGCTTGCCCTTGCCCTTGCCAGTTCAGCTGTGCTGCTCACCAGGATGCGGCCTTCCTTTCCCAATTTGTGCCTTTGTGCAAGCTGCCTCGGGACGAGGCGGCTGGAAGCTCGGGTTCAGCGTGAAGATGCCAGCAGACGCAGGCTCCGACAGGGATCAGACGTCTCTAGGGACTCTACTCTTTCTAGAACGCATCATGCGGATCCCAGCAAAGGTCTGGGGAATCCTAGATTCAGAACACACACAACAGCGCACAATCGTAGCCGTTGTTGACGGGGGTGGGGAGCTCGATCAACCCCAGAAATCGAGTGAAGGTGAGTGAAGAATCTAAGAACTTCGTGCTGAAACTGCAGGGCAGCCGGGATGCTGGAGCAGTGCCACCACTGCTCGGGTCTTTCCAGTGCCTGTTTGTGTTGAGGAAACAGGTTCCACCAACTTCGGAAGCTCGAAAAGCCAGTATCGCTTCCAAACGTACCATCGTTCCAAATCATTGGAGTGGCTGAGTGAGATGCCTCGGGGTTAGAGTTGCTTTTGTGGGAACATCCAAGATGCGAACACATGGTGACTGAAGTTATGGGTGGCACGTGGAGTTGGGCTTTGACACACTGGGCGTTTGGACTGCTATACGGCCTAGCGCGAGGAAGAGCGCCTGTTGGCATGAGCACATGAATCTTTGGTGCGAGCAGGTCACCTGGCCTTCCGGCAAGTCTTAGTGTGCTAGTCACTAGTCTTCAACTCGGAGACAGTGAAGCGAATTTGCCTGGTGGACCCTGCAGCAGGTGGCAACGCCGATGCAGCCCATCCTGGCTCCAGGCTGGACTCTCCGATCCATTCCAAAAGCCGGACAGATGCCACTCAGGTGGTCTAGATAAACAGACAGCTTAGGGCTAAGCGGGCACGGAGACCAGCTTCAGCAGTGGGATCAGCAGGAGCAAGGAGAGACTCTCACAGCATGGAAGTGCGAAATGCAGAGACATTGTAGTTAGGACAACCCAACAGTGGCTTCCTCCCATTCATATAGGTTGTCCGTGCTTGTAATGCCAAGTCTCAGACGACAGGATCTTCGAGATGGCCTCCTTCTGGAGGACATTGAGTCCCTGGGCATGAGACCAAAAATCAACTTCGGTTCCAAAGCGAAGAACACCCCCCCCGGAGCCTAGCCTCCACGCAAAGCCGCTGCGACGGCTGCGACGACTCCTCGGAGTCGGAGATGGGAACCTTGCCCTCAGGCTGGGCTTGCATTCCGGCCTCAGCACCGAATCCCCTTTCTGAACTTCAACGTCACCACGTACTTTGGCCCCGATGTGATGCATGGCTGTGCAACTGAGCCGCCTCAGCCTGCTCCATCTCCGACTCTGCATCAGAGTCGGTAAAGATCCTTCACGCAGTTCGTTCCGAATGCGTCTTCCAATACCATACACTTGGATCAATTGCACAGCACTGAGCAGTTGCAGCTAGCCGATTCAAGTCTGCAATCTCTGTCAAGATTCTGGTGCGTCGCCCCGCGTGCCCCGACAATCTGGTGCAAGAAGGGTGGTTTCGGGGCCAAGACACAGGCCGTCCACATTCGGAGCCTCCGAGATAAATGAGGTTGTTTTGTTTTGCTTTGCTTTGCTTGCCAATCCGAGTCACCCAACTGTCTTTCAATATCCTACGCAGATGTCTGTGTAAATAGAACACACATGTGTTATATATATATGCATATATGCATATGCACGCAAGTCCGCATGTGCATCTGCATATATTATATGCACACACTTGTTCCAGTTCACCAAGCGTGCCTCTAAACTGAAGAACCATGCCGGGACTTTTCCTATATCTGTATCTGTCTCTATATGTATATCTACATCGAATATCTACTACATATATGGCCACGTCACGACGGTACGAGGTCGTCCAACGGCCGCAGCAACAGGATGGGCTGGTCAGGCAATGAAGTCCTCGCAAGAGTGTTCCGGTCGTGCTTCAAGACAGAACGGGAGTTCGACAAACCTAAACCCACTGACAGGCAAATGTGTGTTTACAGGCTGCTGCAATTTTTCCTGACAGCACCTGACAACACACAAGAAAACGCTGGATGGAAGATTCGGCTGCACTGCACGCAGATGTGGAGCCTGAAGATTCGCTCTTCTGGTTCATGCCATGCTGCTGGTGTAGCCATCGCCACGTGGGTAACCCATAACCGCACAAGTTGATCGACACCTCCTGTCATAATGCTGCTACATCTGGTCAAGGTTGACCCGGACAGCTGGGAAACGAAGGAGTCTGTTGGACTTTGGCAAGCACTGCTTATCTAACAGCACTCTGGCATCGCCTTTGCAACGGAGGGAGCCTTTCGTCTTAGCCTCTATTTCACTTTGCGCTTATCCGATTTCTGATCTGCGAAGGAAAGCACAGCTTCGCTAGCAAGTCCAGATGCATGTAGACCGCTACCCAGGATGCAGAGGATCTAAATGTTCATATTCAGATTCAATGCGCCTTCGTGCGTGGGTTTAGGCATGCACCTTGAGGGTCCTAGGCTTTACAGTGTTGCTTGACCTTGCCGTAGTGCTCCATCCATGTTGGCTGTTCGAAAATTGCTGCGATCTCCAGTCCTTGTATCCCTCCTGCGTCGATTCCTTCTTCCTTCTTGCGTGGATGCTTCAGGTCTTCGTGTCCATCGATTCCTTCCATGGCCTCTTCCTTCTCCCTTCCCTCGATTCGCTCCTTGTGTTCTGCATTCTGCCAGCCTCGGCTTACGCACAGGATGGAAGCCAACAAAAGGATGAGTTGTGATTGCAACTCCCCTTCACCAGTCTACGCAGTCACCGCAGGATGCTGCACGTCTCCTGCCCGTAGCCGCTGAATGTTGAAGCGCGCTCCACGAAGAACATTGCCCCCTTCTTCCTTGGCACATACATTTATTGCTCTCGACGAAAAGCTACAGATGCTTCCAGTTCCATTTGAACCTCTTGGAACTTTCCCGGGGATTTCGTTTTCCATTTCCGCAGCCTTACCTCTGGATTTGCCAGCTGTACAGCCAAGAAGTAGTAGCATGAAATTCGTTTGGTGTCGAGGTGTCCACTGGGCATCATTGCAACTGCACTTCCAGGAGATCTCTTGAACAGTCTAAGCCTGCATCAGTTGAGCTAGGCAGCTCCTTCGGTGAGCGAAGCTCGACGGCCCAGGCAGTGCGCATTGTTGGCCTTGCAAAGTTCAGATACGGACAGTTTCAGGAAGCCGGTGTCTAAACGCAAGCCTTCAGCTCGTCAAGTGCATCTGGTCCCCCGAGCCTTTTTGCCAAGACCCCGGCCAATCAGTGCAGGGCAGCACGTGAGCCTTGAAGCACCTGCGGCCCAAAGTGACGATGCTGAGCCGAGCCATCCCACGAAGGTCGCGTGTACTTAAGCTCCGTCACCCACAGCCAAAATGGTCCGAGCCCTAGAATTTACTTTCTGTAAAGCCGCAGCACAGGAGGTGCTCTGAGACGCCGCGTTGCTTCGCCACCTGGAGAATCTGTGATTCTGGTCAGTCAAGCGTGCATGGCTGTTTGCGGACATTCATCACTCACTGACACTTGTCCACAAGACATGCCTCGCCCCGTGATATTCTAAGCAATTCCCGGAGCCGCAACTGCACCCCGTGGCTGCAGCACCCTTCCACAGGACCCTGCAAGCCTTTCCCGGCGCAATCTGCGTCAGCGAGGTCAGCCTTGCCTTTTGGAGACTATGGCTGCAACCAAATTAGTCTTGCGAGGTTGGGGGAAAAGCTTCGATTCAGAAATATACTGAAACAGCGGCAGTACGAACGGGACGCAGTAACTAGGAATAAGTAGTAGTTGCCTTCGTCGTGGTAAGTAGTAGTTGCCGTGGTCGTCGTCGCCGACGCCGTAGTCGTAGTCGTAGTCGTAGTCGTCGCCGTCGTCGTCGTAGTAGTAGTAGTAGTAGCAGTAGCAGCAGTTGTGTCGGATAGCACTCGGGCGGATTATTAGGTTCTCGGTCACCCACGGGGTGTGAGGTTTGGGGTTAAGGCTGGGGT